AGCTGGCAACTTCTCTGTAAATGCAGAACCCAAGTTGGCATTTGTTATTGGGATCAGAAGTATCAGTGGTGTGAGCCCAAAGGTTCAAAAGGTGTTGCAGCTTCTTTGCCTTTGCCAAATCTTCAATGGCACTTTCATTAAGCTCAACATGGCTTCAATTAACATGCTGAGGATTGTGGGACCATATATTGCATGGGGGTACCCAAACCTGAAGTCAGTGAATGAACTAACCTAGAAGCGTGGTTATGGCAAAATCATTGAGAAGCGAATTGCCCTGACAGATAACACTTTGATTGCACCATCTCTTGATAAGTAAGGCATCATCTGCACGGAGGATCTGATTTATGAGATCTATACTGTTGGGAAACGCTTCAAAGAAGCAAACAACTTCCTGTGGCCCTTCAAATTATCTTGTCCGCAAGGTGGAATAAAGAAAAAGACCACCCATTTTGTAGAAGGTGGAGATGCTAGCAATAGGGAAGACCAGATCAACAGGCTTATTAGAAGGATGAACTAAGGTGTCTACCATGATTATTTTTGTAATCTGCTCAGTCAATAAAACAGTAACTGCTTTCAAGTTGGAAAAAACAAACAAACAAATAGAATCCTAACTGAAGTAGCATCAGCTTGTCTGGTACAATTTTCAACAGCCAGGATGGGATGCAAAGAACTTTACAAACAAGCCATTTGACCTGGGAAAATTAGAATTCTGAGGCACCAGCGGGAGGAGGAGACCTGACCAGCCCTGCTGAAGGAGGCCTTGCCCTTTCCTTAGCAGCCCAGCCTCAGCTCCAAGGAGGAGGTAAGATGCTCACGTGTGACTTAATAGCCTGGAGCTCTGTAGGAAGGCTTGGAGGAAGCATTGGCTAGGGCTCACTCTGACAGCACTGCAACCAAAAGGTTTTCCTGATGCTGTCCCAGGTAATGATGATGGTTGCCTTCTGCTGTGCCCTTCGTACATGCCAGACAATGTGTTGTGTGTATTATTTCACTTAGTGTTCCCAGCAGCCCTGGGAGGTAGATATGTTATCAGCATCATTTTCTAGAAAAAGAACTGAAGCTCACATGGTGAAATAACTTATTAGTCCTACAACTAAGAAGTGACAGAACAGGGATTCAAACCTAGTGTGTTGGACTCTGGAGTCCCTGAGTGGTGCAAACAGTTAAACCAGCCAAAAGACTGGAGATTTGAATCCATCCAGAGGCACCTTGGAAGAAAGACCTGGCAATTGACTTGTAAAAAATCAGCCATTGAAAACTCTATGGAGCACAGTTCTACTTTGACACACATGGGGTCGCCATGAGTCAGACTTGACTAGACTGCAATTGGTTTGTATGTGTGTTGAACTCCAAATCCTGTGTTTTTTTAAAAATAATATTTTATTGTGTTTTCGGTGAAAGTTTACACAGCAAATTAGGTTCGCATTTAACAATTACTACACAAATTGTTCAGAGACATTTGTCAAATCCTGTGCTTTTAACAACTATATTATACTCCCTCCAAGATGGGTCTGTGGGTCAGGGGAGGTTGGCTATATGGAGAATTAATAATTATCTCTTCTGTTGTCACATCCCTCAACAGTTTACAAAGCTCAATTGTATATGCAATCTCACTTAATCCTTACAACATCCATTTTACCGATATGGAAGCTGAGGCTCAGAGGTAAGAAGTGACTTACTCAACGTCATTTGGATAAACTGGATAAACTGCCCAGAGGTGACCCTCCTCAAATTGAGCAGGCCAGTCTATATTCTGCATGAACTCACAGTGTGTGTGCAGGACTGGGGCTGGCCTCACCACACTGACCCATACTTAAGGGCAATGATAGTACCAGTCTGGCCCCAAGGAAGGTCTCTGACAGGTGAGGGGCCCAGCTGGTGTTGTGGCCACAGATCCAACTGCAGAACACAAATCCCGCTACAGCAAAGAGCTCTGCATTCACAAAAGATTCCCAGCTCCAGCCAAGGCCCCACTTATTTTTCAGCGACACTTGATATGGCCCAATTCCAGTTCAGCCAGAGAGATTCCGCTTCCTGGTGTTCCCCGGGTGGATGTAGCTATGAAAGGAGTCCCTTCCTTGGGGCAGGGTCATCCTGGAGGGGGGGTGGGCTACAGGACTGAGCTAAACTGGGGAGTGGACTCTGACTCCTCCCCTAAAGCTTCTACCTGCCCAGCTTCCTCCCTGAGGAAAATAGCTGGCCCTGCCAAGCCCCAGAGGCCCTCACTGTCGGTCCTGTTGTGAAGCTTTGCCGAGTTCACAGGCGCCTGTCCTAGAGAGACAAGGCAAGGCTGTCTTTCACCGTTCCCTGGGTGACCCATGCTTGGAGGAGTGACCAGGCAGGGTTCCAGGAGATGGGACAGAAGGGGCCAGGGCAGCCACCATTGTTCACCGCTGGAAGTGTGCCAGGGGACTGGGAGGTGAGCGGTAATCCCTCCCCACTCCTTGATCTCCTGCTAGAAGAGTCTGCCCTGGGGAGAAGGGGGAAGAAGAGGCAGAGAAGAAGAAGAATCCAGCACTGGGGCTTCCTCGAAGCCAGGTGAGCAGCCTTCTGGATTTGTTTTCCCACAAGCAGTGTGTGTCCTCTAAATCTGGGGCAAGTGCTAAAGACAAGAACGAAGGGAAAGAAGCAAGTTCATGAGGTGAAACCCTGCCCTTCCAGGCCTGGGAAGCCCAGATCAAGTTTCTGGGGCAGACAATTCAGGCTTGGGCAATAACTTAACTTTTCATCATACAAGTAATTATTGGGCTTTCTATGTGCTAGGGATTCAATGGTAAGCAAAAATGGACTCACTTGCCTTCTTGGAGTTTACGGTCTAATTGGGTAGACAAATGCTAATTAAATAACCAAATACCAAGGTGGGGGGGGGGCACTGAAATACCTAGAAGAGAGATACATGGTATATATATATATATAAAACCAAACCCATTGCTCTACAGTTGATTCCGACTCATAGCAACTTTATAGGACAGAGTAGAACTGCCCCCATAGGGTTTCCAAAGAGCAGCTGGTGGACTTGAACTGTCGACCTTCTGGTTAGCAGCCAAGCTTTTAACCACTAGGCCACCAGGGCTCCACACAGTTACATGGTGTGTAATTAGGGAAAATTCACTCACTCCAGGAGGTCAGAGAAGGCTTTCCTTCTCTTAAATGATAACGGAGCTGAAGTCGAACAAGCATAGGAGTTTACTGAAGAAAGTGGAAGAGGGCTCCATGAAGAGGGAAAGGGATGTTCAAAGGCAGCCCATTTGGCAAGAAGGAGTATGGCTCCTTCTCCTCTAAAGAAGGCACATGTGACTGAGGAGTGGAGAAGCAGGTGCGAGCAGACCGTGCAACCATGTGGATCTTTACCTTCAACAGCACCAGGAAGCCTTTTAAGGACCCCTGGTGGTGCAGTGGGAGCCCTGGTGGCGCAGCTGTTAAGGGTTTAGGCTGCTAACCAAAAGTTCAGTAGCTGGACTCCACCAGCCACCCCTTGGAAACCCTATGGAGCAGTTCTGCTCTGTGCTATAGGGCTTGCCATGAGTTGGAATCAACTCCACGGCAACAGGTTTGGTTTTTTAATGGTGCGGTGGTTAAGTGCCCAACTGCTAACCGAAAAGTTGGCGGTTCGAACCGACAAGCCGCTCCTGGTTGTAAATATTTACAGCCTTGGATACCCTATGGGCAGTTCTACTCTGTCCTAGGTCACTATGAGTCGGAATCAACTCGACGGCAGTGGGTTTGGTTTTTTCTTTTTTAGTTTTAGGAAGCCTTGTGAGGTGCTGTAAGGATGGGCGGCTAGGTGGCACAAACGGTTAAGTCCTAGACTACTAGCCGAACCCACCCAAAGGCCACTGGAAAACAGGCCTGCCAATCTGCTTCCTAAGATCACAGCCTTGAAAACCCTATGGAACAGTTCTGCACACATGGGTTCGCCATGAGTCGGAATCTTCCATACTTTCCTCCACGCTATGACTTGGTGGTTCCCCTGGTGATAATGTGTTCTGTACAAGCCAGCGTTGAGGCCAGAACTCAGGATGCCTGCAGCACCATTAGTATGGCTTAAAAGTATATAAGATTCACGAAAAACGGGCTCGAACTGCTCTGGGAAGGATGCTGGATAGACAGGTGAAAGACCCTCGCGAATGTAAGCCCTAGCGTTAGCTGAGAAAGACAGGTGCTTTCTTGCCGGTATATTGAAGAGCAGGTGTAGGGCTCGCATTCCTGTGCAGTCCCGGGGAGGCGAGGGCCCTCTCCAGTCTCCAGCCCCTAGCAGGCCCGCGGGCTCCCGCTTGATGGTGCTTTCCCGGCTAGGAAGCGCAGGTGCCACGCCGCGGGCAGAGGGTGCTGGAGGAGGGAGAGTCCCCGGAGGGCCAGCTCCAGCCCGCCTGCAGGGGCTGCCCCCTCCCCAGTCACGTGGCCGGGTGGGTGGGGACCGACCTGAAGTTGGAGAAATCTTGAGCTCTCCCTACTTCGGAATGTGCCGCCTGCCCTCCTGAGTCCCACCTGCGGGCGCAGTGGCTCCGGGAGGGGGCGCGGAGGTAGGGGCGCCATACCGTGGGAATCTGCAAAGCTAAGCAGCTGCGGGTGCGACCAGACTCGGGGCATGGCACAGCTGTCGGTGATCCCGGGATCTGCCACGGCGTGGACAGGTGAGCGGGTACCAGGGGGCAGTGGCTGGGGAGGGAGGGGCTGCTCTAGCATTAGGTCCCATACCCCATGCTTGTCCAGAGGATGCGGGGCACCCGCAACGGGGTTGGGGGGGTCGACTGAGGAAGAGGCCGCGGACCCTTCGCGCTCTGGGTCGTCTCCTCCAGCGCCACCCATTTCCCGCTTGCTCTTCCCTGGGCAGGGCGGCCTCGCGCGGAGGTCGGCAGCAGATGGGGGGCGCTGGGGAGCCGCGGGCCGGGCTGGGACGCTGTCTGGCCGCGCCTCCCGCGCCTCCCGCGCGCGCACACTGGTTGCTCCCCATGACGTCACGCTCGGCTATAAAGACCGTGGCGCGCCGCTCTTGCTGCGCTGGAGGAGCTCGAGGCTGAGGGCGGGTGGAGAGCTGGGGGGGGGCACCGGGACGCTGGGCCACGGGAGCCTCAGCTATGTTTTACTCAGGGCTCCTCAAGGAGGGCAGCCGCAAGGAGACCGACATGCGGGAGGCAGCGTCGGTGCGGCAGCAGCGCCGGATGAAGCAGGCCGTGCAGTTCATCCACAAGGACTCTGCCGACCTGCTGCCCCTGGACGGCCTCAAGAAGCTGGGCTCGTCCAAGGACACGGTGAGCCCCTGCGGCAGCGCCGCCTCAGGATCCCCGCGCGCGGCGTCGCCCGCTCGCGCCCCGGCCCTCGCCGCCTGTCACCTTCGCGCTGTGCAGTCTCCTCCGGGCCTGCCCATTGCCTCTTTCACTGAGTCACCGCCCCGACCCGCCGCTGTCCGCTGCCGGGCTCTTGTCAAGGATCCCTCTGCATTCAAGATCCCCCTGCTTCAGCTGATCTCAGGATTCCGTCTTGGCTTTCCTAGCTCGCGCTCTCTTCCTCGCTGCCTCTTCCCTTCGCGTCTCTCTTCTCTCGATTAGAAGAGACTTTGCCCTGCCCTCTTGCTCTCAGGTTGCCCTTCCTTCCCATTATTAAAGACGAATTTGAGCCTGGCAGCGAGGGAAGCTCCCGCTGCCCCACAGACTGCTTAGCCAGTCCTATGACCCAGACAGAGGCGACTCCTAATGGGTGTGAGAAGGAGAGAAAGAAGTGGGACGGTGGGTTTCTTGGCAGTTTGGTTGAATCCATTTTCCTTCTATGAAAAAATCTGCTTCTCAGTTTGATTTTGGTCGTATCTACCTTTGTCCTTCTATTCTGGGTGGGGAGAGAGAAAAGGTCGAACATGAAGGTTTCCTGAACCCCAAATATCTCTTCATCGTTCTTCTCTCTTTTCCTGCTAGCCCCAAGGAGGGGCAGAGGGAGGAGGAAGCCCGGCTGCTCCATCTCACTGACTAGCTCATGTGTGGAGCTGGGGCTGGCGCAGTCTTTTTTTCTAGCAGGGTAGTACAGAGGGATTCCTTCGCAGTAAGCAGCGGAAGCCCCAGGACTGGAAGTTTGGGCTCAAAGACCACGCTGTCCTCTGTCTATAGGATGGGGATGGATGGTTAAGCGTTTACCAGTATAGAGAGCTGTGTCTGATTCTTAGACCTCAGTCACTGTAGTGGTGCAGGGCCAAGTTAATGTTTAACTTCGTAGTTTTGTCTGCAGTTTTCTTGTAGTTTATTCTCTTGAACTTCATGGTCACTTTATCTGAGCAGTAATTTATGAAACATTAATTAAATTTATTTTACAGTTGAAGTCGGTGCTCTGTGTAATTTTTCTTTCTTTCTTCTTCTTCTTCTTCTTCTTTTTTTTTTTTTTTTTTGAGCCTTTAGAATGTTTAATTGGAGTTTGGTCAGCCCTGATTCACTGAAGTTGCCATTTCCAGCCCTAGGATGACTATGGAGGGCAGAACTTCTGCATATACTTCTTTAAAAAAAAAAAAACTCACACAAATACCAATATCAGATTTGCCCTACCCCCATTGTGATAATCATTTTAATTACCTATGTGCAGGGGATGTCTACCCCGGTTATCTTGCTCTGTTTTTAAAATGTTATTTTTCATGCACAAGCCACAAGATAGTTAATGTGACTCATGCTAATCCAGAGTGGTGAGAGACTGAAATGTATTCCTAGAAAAGACATAACTCTCTTTCTCTCTTCCCATCTTTAACTTTAAAGTACTCTAGATTTAATTAGCAAATCTAGTCCAAGTCTTCCAACTACTGGCCAAAATAATTCTAGTTCCTGGAAGCCTCAGGAACTAACAAAGAGGAAAGTATTAGGAGAAGAAATAAAATGTGGAATTTTTTTCTTCCCTCCACATTGGATTTAAAATATGATGGACACTTGATTGTCCTGAGCTATCAAGAAGTTCCCCAGCCCTGAGGGATCTCCTGTATCCTCTTTATCCTACCTAGGATTCCTTATACTACTTCATCCTAAGTAGCGAGAATTCTGTCTGCTTTTTTGACTCCTGTCTCTCTCAGTTGAGCCACCCAGGATCTGATAGGATAGAGCATAGACAGTACGCTACAAGGAGGAAGCATCCTCAAGAAGTAGGGTATTTTCATGGGTATGACATACAGCAGTTGACTGTGAGGTCCTGAACCATAGTTCACACTTTCTACCCCCCGCCCTGCCCCATTGTCACTGTTCTCACACCTTTAATGTGCAAGTGATTGCACAGAAGAGCTATAACAGGTCACAGAAGCCAAGGCAGACTGAGATACAGCTAGGAGAGCTGTGAATGCTTAGCTCTCTTGGAACTGATTTTCCTGCCTTGGTACAATCTTAGGAGTAACCTTAGAAGCACACTCTTATCATTTTACTTTATGGATACATCTAGTAGGATAGACCAGTGTTGATGCCATTTTCTTTCACTGGAAGTGAAATTTGGAGGATGCCAAAATTAATTGAACAGTTCTTGCTTGAAGTGGATTATAGTACAAACTCAATAGAAAGGGGACAAGAAAAAGGAGAGGATGGCACTACAGGAAGATGTGGGGGAGGGCAAAGAACAAATTAATTTTCATTGACTCTGGCGTTTGTGCTAGTGTGAAGATCATGGGTTGTTTTCCCTCATACTAGTGAACTATATTCAAATTGTACTGCTGGGTTTTCTGAATTGTCTGCTTCTTACCATACTGTTTCTGTAGTGTTCACTGTTTGATGACAGCCTGCCAACACTTCTTGGATTGGCAAAGGGCTCCCATGGGCGATCAAAGGTGGTCTTGTTCTCTTGGTCCCAGAGAAGTACCTTTACCCTATTCCTGTTTGTGTGGATTTGGCTGCCACAAAGTCTGCTGTGGAAAACTAATCTTATTTTTTGTGTCTGGCTCTCTTATTTTGTTTATCCTTTCATTTTATGCTGCCCATTCTGTATTAGATTAAGAACTAAACCCAGAGGTACGAGTGAGTAATATTATATTTGACTTATTATAAAACAGCTGGATGAATTTGGAGGAAAAAAAAATCCTCTGTTCTTGGAGTTTTGCTTATTGTAATTTATTGTAGCTACCACATTCATAAATATTCTTCTCATTGTGCTAAGGACTTTAAAAAATTTTAGAACAGTTACGTCACATGATAGTATGCTATCTTTCCTATAGGATGATATTACCCACTGAAAGACTCATTACTATCAAGTTGATTCCGACTCATAGCAACCCTATAGAACAGAGTAGAACTGCCCTGTGGGGTTTCCAAGGAGCGGCTGGTGGATTCGAACTACCAACCTTTTAGTTAGCAGCCTGAGCTCTTAACCACTGTGCCACCAGGGCTCCATATGCATATATATACTTCAGGCCATATCCTTACTTGTCCAGCAATAAAGTGAGAGTTTTGCTTTTCTATCTATAATTGATTTTGCTTATAGGCAAATGCTTTAGCCAAACTGACTAGAATTAGGAATGAAGATGAAGGGAGGACAGTAGAAAACAGCAAAGCCAACTAACCATGAAATGATCAGTTTCATTTCACTAACCCTATACTCTGAGTGTCTGGTATACCTGATCATAATCCTTGTCAATTATAGCAGCTGGTGGTGGTGCCCTATAGATTAAAAAAAATAAAAAACCAACCAAACTCGTTGCTGTCGAGTCGATTCCGACTCACAGCGACACTGTAGGACAGAGTAAAACTGCCCCATAGAGTTTCCAAGGAGCGCCTTATGGATTCAGACTGCTGACCTTTTTGGTTAGCAGTCATAGCTCTTAACCACTATGCCACCAGTGTTTTTACCCTATAGATTAGATATCCATAATGCCACAGACATCCGTAATTTAGTAGGTGTTCAAATAATGTTTGCTAGCCCTGGTGGTGCAGTGGTTAAGAGTTATGGCTGCTAACCAAAAGGTGGGCAGTTCAAATCCACCAGCTGCTCCTTGGGAACCCTATTGGGGCAGTTCTACTCCCTCCTATAGGGTTGCTATGGGTCGAAATTGACTCGACAGCAATAAGTATTGTTAGGATGCAATCATGGCTCTGGAAATCTTCCATTTGGGCCAGACCCTGATGTTGTACTGGTATTTTATGCTATCTTCTAAGGCTCCAAAGTTCTCCAGTCCAACACCACCAGGTTGTTAAGATGTTACAGTCAGTAAGCGCTAGAGGAGTTCAGTGGAAGAAATGGTTACTCTGGCCTGGTGTGACAAGAGAGATGGAGACCAACATCTCTTACAGCATGGTACTGGGAGGAAGGGGCCTCCAGAGTGTGCTCTGCAGAATCTCAGAGTAAGAAGTACTTTACAGTTATCTGGTCCAATTCTCCATTCATGTGTCAATCTTCCAAAAATGCAGCCTGCCATGGGCAGCTGAGAAATCACTCTCTCAAACCAATCTACAAAGTAGGTAACAATCAGGAATAAGGCTGTTCTCTTTGAAATGACATGTCTGATGGGTCACGAGGGAAAGTGAAAGGCAAAGAGACAGAACATAGAAGGCCTGGGGCAATGTAACAATCTGCCTTAGGTAGATTTCCATATGTTTTTGAGCAACTGCAAACCAAGGACAATCTGTCCCTGTTCCCCTGGGGTAAAATGGGTCATGTGTTATATATTTAGCTAGTAAGCAAAGAAGAGAAGGCATAGATATTAGTGCCCTTTTAGATTTGCAAGGCTAGAGATAGAGATGTATAGCGGGCTTGAAGTTAGAGTCAATCAGGAGCCCATGTTTATCCACAGACAGTGTATGAAGTCTAAAATGGAGTAAGATGATTTCAGGATCTTCTAGGGAAATAAAAGTGAGTGATATCAAGCTTCTATTTTAGGCTATGCATGACAATTTAAAATACATATGCATATAGTCCACAACTGGACCAATAAGCAACATCATGATAAGTGGACAAAATACTGAAGTTGTAAAGGATTTCATTTTACTTGGATCCACAATCAACGGCCTTGGAAGCAGCAGTTAAGAAATCAAATGATGCATTGCATTGGGCAAATCTGCTGCAAAAGATCTCTTTGAAGTGTTAAAAAGCAAAGATGTCACTTTAAGGTCTAAGGTGCACCTGACCCAAGCCATGGTGTTTTCAATCAACTCATATGCATGTGAAAGCTGGACAATAAATAAGGAAGACTGAAGAAGAATTGATGCCTTTGAATTATGGTATTGGCAAAGAATATTGAATATACCATGGACTGCCGGAAGAACGAACAGATATGTCTTGGAAGAAGTACAGCCAGAATGCTCATTAGAAG